CTGCGCCGCCAGTTTGGCTCGGCCGCCATCAAGGCGTTTGAGAGCGAGTCGGCCGCCGCCGGCGCTTCCGCCGGCGCCCGGGCGCGCGCCCAGGCCACCAATTCGAACCTCAAGCTCCGCAGCCACCTCTCGCAGCCAAAGGACTACTGGCCCCCCATCGGCCGCACTTTCACCGGCATCAACATGGACGTCCGCGACACGCGCAGCGGCCGCCTCTGCTCGTGGCAGCACGGCAAGGCCTACAAGCAGGTCCAGCTCCAGTTCCTCCAGGCCGTGCGCTCCCACGACCCCAACGCCCTCATGGCGCTCCTGCGCGTCTACCCGTGGCACATCGACACGCTCCTCCAGCTGTCCGACTACTCGCGCCACCAGGGCGACCTGGGCCAGGCGGCCGACTTCAACTCGCGCGCCCTCTTTGCCTTTGAGCGCACCGCCAGCCCCTACTTTACCTCGTGCCTCTCGTCGACCACCTCGGGCCCGCCCATGGTCGACTTTCTCAAGATCGAGAATCGCGCCTTTTACCTGGCCGTCCACCGCAACCTCGGCTTCCTCGGCCGCCGCGGCACGTGGAGGACCGCCCTCGAGTGGGCCAAGATCCTCCTCGGCCTCGGCCGCGACGGCGACGACCACCACGCCGCGCTGCTCTGGATCGACTTCCTGGCCATCAAGGCCAAGCAGGCGCGCTGGCTCGTCGAGCTGTGCGACAAGCTCGACCTGCAGCGCGGCCGGCAGCGCGGCGGCGGCGTCAAGCGCGTCGAGGAGATCAGCGTGCGCGCCGAGACGTGCATCGACGACGAAAAGGCCGACGCCGGCGAGGGCGACGGCTACGAGGGCACGCTCGACTGGTGCGTCGGGCTGCAGTACGCGCGCGCGCTGGCGTTCAAGGCCATTGAGCGCGAGGAGAAGGACAAGAGCGGGCGGAGGAGCCGGGCGGCGCTGCGGCTGGCCATGGCGCGGTACCCGATGGCGGTGCCGCTGCTGGCCAACAAGGTGGGCATCGACCTGCCGGGCAGCCTCGTCACCCACCCGCTGTTTGAGCTGCGGACGCGGTACGGCGAGGCTGGCGACGACAGCCTGCCGCACCTGCTCTCGCAGATCTACGCGCTGCGCTCCGAGTCGCTGTGGAAGGAGCCGGGCTACCCCGAGTGGCTGCGCGACACGGCCGTCGAGCTGTTCCCCGTACTCAAGGCCGACTACGAAGCCACGGGCGCGGCCAAGAGGGCCAAGGCGGCCGTGGCGGACCTCAAGACGAGGCAGGGCATCTACCGGCACGTGCTCGTGTCTGACCTGCCGGACAGTGTTAGGCAGCAGCTGGTGGGCCACCTGCCGACCGAGGTGACGCGCAACGGCGAGATGATGGACGCCTTCGACCCCATTCCGCCCGTGTCCACGGAGCTCTACGGCACCGTCGAGGGCGAGGGCGAGGGCGAGGGGGACGAGGACAGGGCGACGAGGTACGACGACGAGTACTTTGCGCCCATCATGGGCAGCGGTGGTGGATCTCGGGGTGGCAGTGGAGGCGGAAGTCGAGCGCAAGGGCAGCAGGATGAGGCGGGGCTGATACAGGCGTTTATGAGGGCGATGCAGGGCGTGGGTGGGCTGCGGGGCTGGGACGCGGCCATGGAGGGCATGGACGACGAGACGAGGGTGAGTGCGCGCAGGGGCGTCGAGAAGGACATCACCAGGCAGGCAGCAGGCTAACCCGCGGCTTACCGACCGACACCCCATTTGCCTTTTCCCGCCTTCGTCCCCTCTTCGCTGGACCTGCCGCGGATATAGGAGGACGTGATGGCGCAGATTCTCGAAATGACGGCGCAAGCACGGCGGGAGCGTGGGGCGGGCGAGGATGAACCGCCCGGTGGCTTTGGATTTGATCGGGACGGCCAAGACGACGACGAGGAAGGCGGCGGAGGGGATGAGGCAAGGGGAGGAGGGGGAGCGTTTGCGGCGCTGAGGAATGCGCTCAATGCCGTCTGGGGGATGGGCGGGACCGCTCACCAGCCCGCCGCCGCCGAGGATGAGGACGATGGCTTCGAGACGGAGGACGACGACGAGCAGTAGTTGGCCAGCGGTCGACAAGGTTGATTGAACTGAATCGGAGGTGTTGAGCGAGTACAGTACAGCAGCTAGCGCCGCCGGGACATGCGGCGTGTGGTGCGGGATTAGACGACCTGGATTGACGGAACGTGGTGCGACTTGCGAGGGCTCGAGCGCACCCTCGGCCTACCTTTCCCCCGTCGATTTTGTCGAGGATTGGGGGGCGGAGCGGGTGTGACACACGCTTGTTTCCTCGACCTCGTCCCGTTGTACTTACTGTGGCTCGCTGTGCGTTGGCTTGGACCTTGACTTCGGGACGGGTGCTTACGATACGGAGACGAAGCACATAGCGGAATTACGCAGCCAGGCAACGGGGGGTCACATGCTGGAGGGTGTCCGCTCTGTGGGTCGACAGCGAGAGCGAGAAGCGGCAATGCTCCGCAACCCACACTGCTGCCTTCCTTGGGGCGCGCGCATGCCGTATCGCAAGGCACAGGCTAGGACACCAAGGCAAGGCGTACGCGGTAGAGAGTGACAGGACCCCGACCCGACCATGCATGCATGGCGCTGAGCGACGAAGGTGATTGGCTTGGTTTAGCCGGCGTCGAGGGCCTGGCCTGGTCTGACCTGCCTGCCTGCCTGCCTGCCTCGGCTAGATCTGGTAATTGCCTGCCGCCTGCCGCCACGCCACCTTACCCGCGCAAATGCAAATGCGGGGCCCCTCGCTGTCTGGGGATGCGTGGCCCGAGCCCTCGTCTCGCCCCGTCTCGCCCGCTTGCCGCCCCGCCTCCGCTCGCCTCGCCTCGCCTAGCGTACCGTATCGGCCTTTGCCGTCGTCGAAGCTTGGTGAGTTCTCACGCAAGTTGCCCTAAAGTCGGACGCACGCTTTGCACTGGGCTACAATATCGACTTCGACTTGGACCGTGCTTGCGCGCCTGAGCCTGAGCCTGCCAGGCCTGGACTACTGCCCTGTCACGTCTCCCCCTCGCTGCCATCGTGACCTGCCCTCGTCGCCGCAGCTGCCGTGAGCTTGGCCTGTGCTCGGTCGCAATGCAGTTGATATAAAGCGCCCTGCTGTGCCTCGCCCTCTTCACCGCCCGCCCCGTGTGTGCACATCCTCATTCCCTACTGGCCCCCCCCCCGCAAACTCTCAGAGACCCCGCTCGCACTCCTCCGACTCGTCCCTTCTAGTCACACACCACATCGCCCACCCACGCACACCACGCCACATCGCCCAACATGGGTCTCTTTTCCACCTCGACGCTCAACGAGAACCCGTCGTCGTACGCGACGCCGGCGGCCTTTGCCCCCTCGACGGTGCAGGAGGCACAGCGCGCCGCCACCTACGACTACGTCATCATCGGCGGCGGCACCGCCGGCTGCGTCCTCGCATCGCGCCTCTCGGAAGACGCAAACGTCTCCGTCCTCGTCCTCGAGGCCGGCGGCACCAACAACGTCCTCGAGACCCAGGCCCCGCTCACGTTCGGGAAGCTCTTCAAGACCGACAAGGACTGGAACTACGAGACCGTCCCGCAGGGCACCGTCGCCAACCGCGAGCTCTTCTGGCCCCGCGGAAAGATGATCGGCGGTAGCAGCAGCATGAACGCCATGTGAGTCCGGTCGTCGTCGCGGCTTGCGGGCGAGGTCGGGGTCGAATTGGGGAGCGCGGCACACGATCCCTTGCTAACCCGACCCTCTGCGCTTCGTTTCTGCTCTTCGTCATCCCTGCCTCGCCACTCTGTTCGCCGCAGGATGTACCACCACTGCTCGTACACCGACTACGACGAGTGGGAAAAGGAGTTCGGCTGCAAGGGATGGGGATACAAGGACATGCAGCCCTACTTCCGCAAGGCAGAGCAGTGTGAGTGGCGCTTGGCTCACGTCGTTGTCCACTCTTGTCCCGACGTGCGCCGACATGGCTCCTGACCGCCTCCCCCTCCCTGGCCACCCACAGACACGCCCAACGTCGGCCGCGCCCAGGTGGACCCGGTGCACCGCGGCAGCGACGGCCTGTGGCAGGTCGGACATAGCCACCTGTCCGAGATCGGCGGAAAGGGTTTTGTCGGCGGCTGCATCGAGACGGGCATCCCCTTTAACCCGGACATCAACACGCCGCGCGGAACCGAGGGCGTCACCCACATCATGACCTTCAGTGCGTCTGCCCCTCTCTCCCTGTCTCCCGTGTCTGTCGTCGTCGCGATGGTCGGACGGAATCACTGACGCGTCGACGACCCCGCCACCCCACCGCAGTCGACAAGAACGGTCGCCGCTCGTCGGCCGCCACGGCCTACCTGCCCCCCGCCGTGCAGAAGCGGTCCAACCTGACGATCGGCGTCAAGGTTATGGTGACGCGCGTCATCTTCGACCGCAACTCGTCGTCGCGCCCGCGTGCCATTGCCGTCGAGCTGGAAAAGGAGCGCGGAGGGCAGAAGTACTACGTCTCGGCGCGCACCAAGATTGTCCTCAGCGCCGGATCGATCAACACGCCGCAGACGCTCATGCTGAGCGGCGTCGGGCCGCGCGCCACCCTCGAGCGGCACGGCATCCCCGTCGTGCTCGACAACCCCAACGTCGGCCAGCACCTCAAGGACCACTTCTGCACCAGCACCATCCTCTGCAAGGCCAAGCCGCAGTATACGCTCGACTTCCTCGGCAGTCAAATCGGCGCCCTGCCCGCCCTCGCCCGCTGGCTCGTCACGGGTGGAGGACCGCTGACCAACAACGTCGGAGAGTGTGCCGCCTTTTTCCGCTCGACCGACGAAAAGTTGCCCGGCACCCACGCGCTCACCAAGCCCGAGAACAAGCCCGCCTTCCACGGATCCCTCGGTATCGGCCCAGACCTCGAGGTGATCGGTTGCCCACTCCAGTACCTCGACCATGGATTCAAAACGGCTCAGCACGGTGATGGCGTTTTCTCAATGGTTCCCATCGGTCTGCGTCCCAAGTCGGTGGGCGAGATTTCGATCCGCAGCGCCGACGCGTGGGACAAGGCGGTGATCGACCCGCGCTACTGGACCGACGAGGGCGACAACGACCGCAAGGTGCTGCTGGCGGGCGTGCGCATCTGCCTCAAGATTGCGCACTCGGACGCCCTCAAGCCGTACCTGGAGCAGATGCCTGTCGACAACGACCCGTCGAGCTTCTACTGGCCCTACTGCGCCGATCCGGACCAGATCACCGACGACCAGATCTGGAACTGGATGACGCGCGACGCCTTCACCCTCTACCACCCCGTCGCCTCGGCGCGCATGGGACCCAGCGCGGCAGAGTCGGTCCTCGACCTCGACCTCGACGTGCATGGCATCGACGGCCTCGCCGTGTGCGACGCCAGCGTCTTCCCCGAGCAGATCGCGGGCCACCCCACCGCCGCTGTCATCGCCGTCGCAGAGAAGCACGCCGAGCTCCTCAAGCGCGCCGCAAAGGCCAATGCCGACGCCCTCCCCGCCACCCCGCGGCTCTAGGGCACCGCCCCTCGCCTCTTCGCTCGACTGCGTTTCACCTGCTCCGACCGTCCAGCTCAGCCCAGCACCCACCGTCCGTCCCCTCTGTACCGTTCGATACCTCCCTCCTGTCCATGTCTTCAACCCATGTATTTACTCACCGCACGCCCGTCGCCCGGAATCTCATCTTTCCTGTCATGCACTCGCCTCGCCTCGCCTCGGCCCGTGCCTGCCTGCCGGCCACCTCCAACAAGAGGGACGGGTGAGAAGTGTACGATCCTCCCGTCGAAGCATGCACCAAATGCAAAGGGTTGGTGTCGAGATTCCCGTCGCTCGACGCGCACGACGCGCCGCAAACATCGGTCCGCCCGCACATCCACTTCGCCGGCGTGCTACGACGTCACCCGGCTCGGCTCGGCTCGGCTCGGCTCGGCTCGCGGAGCGGCAGTGAAGTTGGGGGAGGCTGGAAACTGCTTTAGGATGAAAGAGGGGCCAGACTAATGTCGATACGAGGGAAGGAGGAAGGACCGAGGGTGCTTGGGATTGCGCGCAGCATCATCCCGCTCCGCCTGAGGAGCATCTCTTTTTTCCGGAGGTACAAAGGACCACGGCCAGGCCGGGCCTGGCCATGCGGCGAGGATGACGGGTTGACCTCGAGCAGACTACAATACTCGATCCGACTATAGAACTCGAGCAGACAGACAAACGATGCGATGCCATGCGATGCCATGCCATGCCATGGCATGCGATGCACGTCGATTCGGAAAGGATCACATCGAGTCTCGCGCGAAAGCCCTGCCTCCCGAAACGGCCACAGCCCTCGTCTCCAGCGGACCAAAGGGCAACCACCGCACATACTCTCCACCGCGTCCGGATCCAAAGGCCGTCAGGAAGCGGGTCGAGTTGCGCGTGCTCCTGCCACCCTCTCCATCGGCTGCAGCGGCGGTGGCGGCAGCGATGTGGGCGGCCTGTTCTGCGTCGTCCCATGTCGACATGGCGCGGATGGCGGGCGCATAGTCGAGTACGGTCGCCGTCGATTGCGCCGTCGAGGTGGGCGCGGGGTGCAGTAGCCGCGTCAGCGTGGCGATGGCGTGGCTCGTCTTCGCCCTGCTCGCCGCGCGGCCCGAGCGAGACATCGGGACCGGAGGAGGGGAAGGCATGTCGTCGTCGAAGTCAGTATGAGCCTCCCTCTCTCTGCCTGCCACCACCGACCGACGTGGAACCGCCGCCACGTGGACGCACCGTTTCTGCTCCAGCTCCCATCCCGACCCGGCCTCGATGCCGGCGCCACCGACCAGACCGATGACCGTCGAGGCAAAGTCGGGCATGTATCGGAAGCTACCCGGCCGATGGGGCGGTACCGCCAGCGGCTGCGAGAAGAGCTGGCGCATGTGCGGCGCCAGCTGCTGTTCGGCTGTCGTCAGGTGCGGTGGCTGGCCGTACTATTGGCGGAGCAGGGAGAAGGAGAATTGGAGCGTCAGCTGAGCGAGCGCCGCGCAGTCAACGCGAGGCAAAAGGGTCGAGACTTACGGCTTCCGGGTCTTCGTCCCACTGCATCGCGTGGACGTAGGACAGCGGGTCGTACCGCCTGGCCTCGAGGCGGAGCTGCGCGATGTCGCTCAGCTCGCCTCCGGTGCTGCTTCCCATCGACGGCGCGGGCACGAGCACGGCCACTGGCGTCAGGTTCGGCTCCGGCTCCGGCTCTGCACCGCTGCCGGGCTGCACCACCGACAGAGCCAACGAGAGCTGGTTGATGGCCTGCCGCAGGTCCACCCTCTGCTCGCATTTCCCATCCGCCCTCTCTCGCACCACCTCGTCCCACTGCTCGAGCATCTCCGGATGCACCGGCCCGTCGGCACGAGGATACCTCGCAAACGCATCCGCGCACAACGGCGCCGCGAGGTCTCGGCTCTCCCTGAGCACCTCGGCCGCACTCGCCTCGTCGAGCAGGACGCCCCGAGACGCAGCAGCAAGGAGGCGGAGGTACACCGAGGCCGTGCTGGCGTCGACCCGCTGGAACGCAAGGTGCTCCTGGATCGGCAGGTCCGACGCCGGGATCATCGCGGCGTCGTTGCACGTGACAATGACGGGCCGCCGCGACTCGGCAATGAGCTCGACGATGGCCGTCCAGAAGCCCTTGTCGTCCTCGTAGAGCACGTCAGCCTCTTCGACGAGGATCAGGCTCTGCCGAACCGCCGGCGAGGTGCCCTTCCTCGCATCGCCTGGCCCGTCAAGGGCGTCTTCGGAAGCGCTCGCCTTCGCCGAGGCCGGGGCTGGAGCCGGCGCTCCCTTGCGCCAGGTGGCCCCTCCGCCCGTGCCGCCGCTCGAGACCATGTGGTTGCGTCCGAGATCGCCCACGGCGCTGTGCAAGTCCTTGCCGCTCCTCCGGCCCATGCCCGGAAACAGCTCAAACACCTCGTAACCCAGCTCGGCTGCGCACGCGTACACTGCGGCGGTCTTACCCGAGCCCGACGGCCCAGAGAGGAGGAGGCAGTTGGTGAGATGCGCCGCAGATGCAAACGTGGGCTGCACCGGCGCCGCGCCCGGGTTCGGTTGCAACTGCGCTTGCGCTTGCGCCTGCGACTGCGACTGCGACTGCGTCGTCGGCGCCGAGGCGCTGCCCTGCGACATTGCCAGGGCCGCCACCTCGTCCTCGGTCGTTTCGCCCGCCGTCGAGGCGCTACCCCCGCGCCGGAACTGGTCGAACCACGCCTCCTCTTCCTCGGAGTCATCGACGATAAAGTCGGCCATCTCGGAGCCGCCCTCGTCGTCGTCGCTGCCGATGCGCCTCGCCCGCCTCCGCTTCTTGTCGACGCGCTTCTGGATCATGCGCGGGCCAGACGCGCGGTCGGCGAGCTTGCGCCGCTTCGATTTGGCACGAGAGGCGTCGGCGCGGGCCTGCGCGGCGCTGACAGTGCCGCTGCTGCTGCTGGCGCCGGTTGCTGGGCCGGGCGCAGTGACGAGCAGGGCGCGCAGCCAGTCCCTCATGTAGGTGGCGCTCGACTCGTTGCCGAGGCACTCGGATGCGGTCTGCGGGCGGAAGGCGTCGTTGAGAAGGTGCTGCGACGTGCGCGCAGGACGGCGGTCGGTATGGCGGTCCACCAGGTCGAGCAGATGCTGGAAGCTCGAGGGCAGCGAGCCGTCGGCCGACGCCCAGGCGGACAGGTCGATCTGGCGTCGCACTGCCTCGGCTGACGATGCTGCTGGGCAGTGTCTCGTCGTTCGATGCGTGCCGTTGATGGGGATCCTCTGCCTCGCTATGCGGCTGGCCAAGGGTACGTCTGGCATGGTCTGCCCTCCCGCCGTGCGTCGCTCCTGCCGTGCCTTGCGCGACGACTCCGAGTCCGACGTATAGGCAGCGGCCTTCTGCTTGGCCCACTGCAGCGCCTGCTCTTCAGGCGGCCACAGGTTCCTGACGTGCGCCTCGCCGCGCCCGGGCCAGGCAGCTTCGAGCGGCGCCTTGGATCGCACATTGCGTGCGGCAGAGCCAGAACAGGCCGACCCGCCTTTTTGCGCAAACAGACTCCACCGCGGTGGCTCCTGGCGCATCGGCGGCAGGGGTGCTGGCGGCGGTCTGGCTTTTGCCTTGCCCTTGGAGACAAGCTGCGGCATCTCGTCGTCGGTCTCGGAGGCAGGGGTCGCTGCTGCTGCTGGCGGAGGGGGCCTCTGAGCTTTGTCCCTCATGGCGAAGAACGGGTGGGGTTTCACGTCTGGCTTGGTGGAAATGGTGCCGCGGACATCGAGGCTGAGCCTGTCGCTTCGTTTTGGCTTGTCTGCCGCGAAAGCAGGCGATGGGCCAGCCATGTTGCTGTGCACGATCTCGATGTCGCCGCCGTCATCGTCTCCATCCAGTTCCGGGATATCTCCGTTCTGCTTCGGGGTCACTGCGACGGCTGGATCGACGAGCGACGAGGCCGAGGCAGAACCAGGCCTGCTCGGGCGCTTCCTCTTTGGCTTGCCGACTTCGGCCTGGTCCTTGAGCAGCGAAGCCTCTAGCTTTGCATCTGCGCGCAGCACGGCCTTGAGGTCCTCGCGGTAGGATACGGGCGCCTTTGCGCGGCTGGAGCGGGTTGGGCGGCTGGGACCGGGTGTGCTGCTCTGGTCCGCATCGGGGTCGGGTTCCGCCGGCTGCGGCTGCGTCTGGGGCTGTGGCTGTGGCTTTGGACGAAAGAGGGGGTGTAGGCTAGACGGATCGACGCCGCCGTTTTCCTTCAAGTGAGCGGCGAGCTGATCCTTGTTCGAGGCCGGAGCGACGGACGGGGGCGGCGTCGATGGCCAGCTCTGTGTGCCGGCATCGCCGCTGGCATTGGCGGGTGGCGGCGTGGTAGGGAGCGAGGAGGGCGGGTTGTCCGGCAGGTGTTGGATCTGTGATGGGGGAGGGTCACGACCGCCAAATGGCAGGGTGGCCTGTTTCATCCCCTCGTCGTCGCGGTGCGGTGCGGTGCGGTGCGGTGCGGTCGAGGAGCAAGGGGGCAAGGGGCCGGAGGAGGAGGAGGTTCAAGAGGGTGTGGATAGGGCGAGCATGCGTGGCAGTACGAGCGTGCGTGGTAGGGGTCGAGGTAGATGGAGCAGCAGAGAGACAGCGCAAGGGAAGCAGAGAGAGGTGTGGGTTGGGTTGGTGGCTGTGGTCGCGGTCGGAGGGTCTGCCAGTCGAGCAGAATCGACCGTCGGCCCACCCGCCCGCACGCCCGCCCGCACGCATCCCCAACACTCAAGTGGAGCAGTCACGCCGCCGCCGCCGCCGCCGGCGACACAAAAACGGGGGTCGCGTCTCGGCTTCGGCCCGTCGCGTTGAGCGCTCCCTCACCCAGGCGGCACATCCGTCGGGAGACCCGCGCCTCCTCTTGTCTCCCCGGCTGCCTTGACAACCACACCGGATCGATGACACGTAGCTCTCTTGCCCCGCTCGGCCGCTCAAAGGAGTGCTGTATTCGACACGCCAATGACACTTCTACGACTGCACGCCCAGCGACGACGCCGCTCTCGGCGCGCCCGCCCGCTCAGGAAAACATCTTCGAGTAGGCCGCCCGCTGCGCCTTGACCTTGGCCTCCCTGCGCTTGACCAGCGCCGCCTTTTCCCGCTTGATGCCCGCATCGTTGGGCGCCAGCTGCAGCGCGTGCCCCAGGTCCGCCTCGGCCCCCTCGTCGTCCTTGCGCGCCACCTTGGACAGCGCGCGCCGGAAGTAGGCCTTGGCCAGCTCCGCCTGCGTCTTGTCGTCGAGCGACGACGACGACGACGGCGCCGCCGACGTCCCCTCGCCGCCAGCCGCTTCGCCCCACCCGCTGCCGCCCAGCCTCTCAATCACGCCCGTGCAGCACGTCTCGGCCAGCCGCGTGTCGGGCGACGGCGTCAGCTTGAGCGCGCACAGCGCAGAGTTGAGCTGCAGCGGCGTGCGCAGCGACGTGTACTCGGCGCAGAATGCCGCGTCGCCCTGCTTGTCGTCGGGCAGCACCGGGTGCACGTTGAGGTAGCGCAGCGCCTTTTGGTACTTGGCCAGCGCCGTCGCGTACTCCTGCTTGCCAAACACGCCGTTGGCTATCGCGCGCAGCTCGTTGGCGATCCGCAGGCACACCTCCGGTCGGGCCTCGCAGTCCTCTTGGTCGTAGTCCTCGGGAAACTCCTCGTACCGGTCGCCCGTCGCGTCGGCCTCGATGCCGTAGTCGCCGCCCTCGGGGATCTGGCCGCAGTCGTCGATGGTGATGGCCTGCACCGGCTTGTCGTTGTCCGTGGGCGACTTTTCGATGCGGCGCACCACGCCCTTGCCGCGCAGCACGCGCCCAAAGACGACGTGCTTGCCGTCGAGGTGCGGCGTGGGCACCGTCGTGACGAAAAACTGCGAGCCGTTGGTGCCCGGGCCGGCGTTGGCCATGCTGAGCAAAAAGGGGCGGTCGTGCTTGCCCTCGAGGTTCTCGTCCTCAAACTTTTCGCCGTAGATCGACTCGCCGCCGGTGCCGTTGCCGCGGGTAAAGTCGCCGCCCTGGATCATGAACCTTTCAATGACGCGGTGGAAGCCGCTGCCCTTGAAGTGCAGCTTGGCGCCCGAAGCGCTGGTGCCCTTTTCGCCCGTGCAGAGGGCGCGGAAGTTTTCGGCCGTCTTGGGCACGCGGTCGGCGTACAGCTCGAAGACGATGCGGTTGGCGCCCTTGGACGTCGGTGCGGGCGAGCCGGCGAAGCCGACGTCGAAAAAGACGATGGGGTTGCCCGGCGCAGGAGGCGCGGCTCGCTCGGCATCGGTCGACATGGCGGCGGGGAGGGGAGTGGGGTCGGGTGGTTGAGATCGGGCAAGATAGGGAGGGCTGGAACGAGTATAGATGGAGCAGGCTCAATGAGCAGTGGGTGGCGGTGGTGGCGGTGGTGGCAGATGATGGTGGCCGGGACAGTCTTTTGAGGCCTGGGTCGCTCAAGCTCGAGGCAAGCGCAGGCAGGCTGGCGGGGCGGAGGCTGGCCTGGCCTCGCACGGGCAGAGGCACAAGAGCGGGGCGGCACCCGCGCCGAAGCTTCTCGATCTCGCAACAGCAGGCACCAAGCAAGCGCTTGGTTGGCTTCTCCACTTTTCTCGCTTCGCCCTCCGTCTTCCGACAAATGAGAGGCCACAGATAGATCGCCTCGGCACTATTCTGTCAAGGCGGGCATCGAACACGGCGCAACGCTTCCATCTTCATTCCATCGACAGGCAGGACTGCCGCCGTCGGGTCACAGCAGCAGTGCCGGTACTGGCACCGAAACAAGGTCGGTCTATCGCAGCCACCTGGTACGGTACAGCGGGTTCGGGCGATCAGCCGAGCCAGACGGCCGTGGCGGCCTCTCTGAGCTCGCCCGCGGCGCTGCGGCCCAGGTCCAGCGTGGCCACTTCTTCGATCCGGCATGGCCCACCGGCGGGCGAGACGAGCTCAAGGATGCGCAGCACGCCCTCTTCGCTGTCGGTCAGCGCGGCATAGTGCTGTGGTCGCCCGCTGCCGTCGACGAGCATCGTGGGCGCCGGCTCGATGGCGTCCGCCCACCCGCCAGACGTAGGCGTCTGCCACATTGCCACGCTCCAACCCTCCTCGCGCGCCTCGACGTCGACCTCGACCTCGTCGGCCTGCAGCGATGCGGGCGCGACGATGGCACCGTCTCGGTCCAGCTGGAACACGGCTACCCATCCGCGCGTCCCCTTTGCCAGGCCGCGCGTCGATGCGTACAGGAACGGGCGGCTGCCGTCGTCGGTGGGCGCAGAGACGCGCACCTCGTCGGCCCAGTAGAGGGTCTCGTCCTCGCTGCGCGGGATGATGCGCACGCCCTGCCGCCACTCGATCCGCGTGCCCCTGCCATCCCCGCCGTGGCCCGCAGGAAAGATCTCGAAGACGTCGACATACGAGCTGTGCTCCTGCAGGCAGTACAGGTACCGGCCGCCCGGGTGCGCGATCGTGTGCCGCGGCCCATCGTTAGCACGGCTCAGGGCGTACTTCTGCGCCAGCGACAGCGTACCGTCGTCGGGGTCGACGTCGTAGACCCAGATGCAGTTGCGCCCAATGTCGGGCACAAAGGCTACGCGCCCATCGACCGAGAGGTCCACTCCGTGGGCTCCGTGTCGCAGGCCTCCAAAGTCGCCGTTGTTCTTGCCGCCACTGCCGTCGAGCTTGGGCATGGCGTTCGCGCCACCGCCGCTACCCGTGACGCCGCTGTCGTGGTGGGCCCCTGCCGCGTCGTCCTTGAGCGTCCGTCCGGGTCGAGAGCAGCGGCCCGCGACGCAGTCGAGCTCCTGGATGCGTCCTCCGCTGTCGGGGATGACTTTGGCGTGCTTGCGGCCGTGGGCATCGAATGCGCCCGTCTCGGCGTCGATGCCAATCACCTCGCCGCCGGGCCCGCTGATGGTGTAGAGGACCGGGTGCGGGTGATTGGCGGGCTGGCCGATGGTGACGTAGCCGGAACGCGCGGCCGTCGGTGCGGTGTTGAGCAGCTCAAACCCCGCGGCGTCGCTAGGGCCGCGGTGCCCGGGCTCCTTGCGGATGCGATAGGCGGCGACGCTGGGCGGCTCGGTCCAGCAGGTGGCGTAGAGGTGGGTGGGCGGCTCGGCGGACCCTACGAGGGCGCGGCTGGCCGAGGGGCGAATGACGGCCGTCGAGAGCCACGAGTGCTTTCCGACGACGTCCGAGGTCGAGACGAGCTCGAGGCGGTGGCTGGTCGGATCGAAGCGGACCGTGCAGAGCTCGGGCGTGTTGAAGGTCCCGACGGCGAGGAGGACCATGTCGAACGGGGCGCGCGGGATGAAAGGCGAGAGAGGGAGTGGGATTGACGAGGCAAGAGGACAAGGAAGTTTGAGGCCAGGCCAGGCGATGCTCAGACAGGAACGGGATGGAGGAGCGAGGCGACAACATGGCCGACCAACAACGCCGCTTTAAAGCGCCGGCTCGACCGTGGGGCCCGTCCAGAGCCAAGGTCGCAAACCGGGGAGCTCTTCCCTGCTCCGCCGACGACCGCACACCAGAGGAGAGCATGGGCGCAAGACGAATCGAGGGGGAAGAAGGACCCGTAGCCGCCATTCGTAGTCACTCCTGAAAACGGCGCGACGAGGTGCCAAGGCGAAGCGCAGGAGCCACGTCGAGGTGGTCTGGCCTGGCAGGCCTGGCCACCCTGCCTGTGGGGCATGCCGAGGGCCCGACAAGAAACCGGAACGGAAGCCAAGTTGCCGCCTCTGCCTCAACACTGTTTGCCGCCCCGAGGCTACCAGCGGGCGAAGCGTACCTGGCCAGCGGACCCGGTTTCGAGTCAAGCAGCTTCAGATGAAGCGCAATGGCCCTATTGAGGAGATCCGGGAACAATCGGCTTCGACTAGGGGACGGCGAATTGTGGCCAAGGCGTCGACATCGCCATCGTCATCGCCATCACCGTCGTCGGTGGTGGTGGTACCGGTAGCTGGCCGTCGAGAGGGGCCCACCGCACTCGGACGGCAAAAGGGGAGCTACGGCCTGGCCACCTCTTTGCCGAGTCCCGAAACCTTTAGCAGTTGGAAATTTCCTGGCCGCCGCTCCCGCTTGAACCCTTTCTGGCTGAACCGCCCGCCTCGCTTTGGCTTCGCCCCTTTCCTCGAGCCCACCGCCACCACTGCCATCCAAGCCACCCTCCCTACACCGGCCTCCTTGACTCAATAGACCGAACGACCAACCCACCGACCGACCGACCCACTGGCAACATGTCCGAGCACGCAGCGACCACACCATCAGCGGCGACAGCGACGGCGGCGGCGCCGACGAGCGAGACCAAGCCCAAGGCCGGCCCTTCCAACTCGGTGGGCCCGGGGCTCGACACGACCTCGAAGCACACGTGAGTGGCTCTCCTCGTCCTGTCCATCTATCTACCGGAACAATGAATATGCATCTCACGCTCGCTCCCTCCCTCCCTGTTTGTCCCTGCTTGCTCCGCTCTGACCGCCCACTCCCGCCCCGGCTCAGCAATATCTCGGGGGTGAGGAAGATTACGCCGTGGGAAAAGAAGATGGAGGCGAGGAAAAAGGCCGAGGCCGTCAAGCAGCGCGAAAAGGAGATGAAGGAAGCAAAAGTGGCAGAGGCAGAGAGGTGAGTAGTGACGTGGGAAGCAGCGCAGCGACGTACAGGCTGGCCCAGGGCTGGCGTCGTCCAGCGCCGCCGTCTCGCAAGGGAGTGGTCTCTGACGTGTTCCCTGCCGTTGCCCTCGCTCTTCGACGATGCCCGCCGCGCAGGAAGAGGACCATTACAAAGGAGAGGAAGCAAAAGGCCGAGGAAAAGGCCAGGATCGAGGCCATGGCGTCCAAGGTGAGCAGCAGCCAGCCGCGGCGGCCAGTACCACCTGCTTCCTACGCGCCGGTGGTCGCTGCCAAGTGCTGACACTGGGGTCCCCCTTGTCTCTGTCGTGCGCGTCGTGCAGATGAGCGCCAAGAAGCTGCTGCGCAAGAAGCGCCGGCTGGGCATCACCAAGAAGGTGTCGCACTCGAACTGATCTCGACGGCCGCCGCCGCCGCCACTAGCAGCAACCTGGCACGTCGGCACGCACCCTCGACGCATTGTCGTTTGATTCCCTTGCAGCATCGCCCTGTCCGCCCTGTACTTGTAGACGAACCCACGCGTTGAACCCGGTCCCATTCCCCCACTGCCACTGAGCTCGGCGCCGCGCCGCGCCGCACCTGCTGCGGTGGCCCGCGTTAGGCACTTGTAACGCAGCGCTGGCCGATGAGTGTCGCGCAAGTTGGCGCGTCGAGACTGACGGGTCGGGTCGAGTCGAGGTTGGGACCGGTGAGGGTGTTGGCCTTGGCCTGCTTTGTGCCGGCGGCGTGACCGAGCCAGGCCAAGGTACCTAGCCCTCTGGGAGCGAGGGGTGGGTGCGTGTAGGCGGGGCTCAGCGCTCAGCAGATCAGGTCAGGCCCACTCTGGCTGGCTGGCTGGCTGGCTGGCCAGGCTGGCCCAGGTAGCCTTGCCTGTCAGAGAAAAAAAGAAGCGCAGCGAGCCAGCCAACACGCACGCACGCACCCACGCACGCAACACACGCGCGCGCACCCACCCCCCCTCCAGCCTCCTCGCAGAAAGACAGACAGACGTCTGTTCTGGCCAAGGCAGAGAGCGAGGGAGAGAGACAGACAGAGGGCAGCCCCGCCGGCCTGGCCCCACCGTCGCTGCTGGCCCTCGCTTCTCATTTGACCTCTCTCTGCCTCTCTCTGGGATCCTCATCTCGCCTCGCCTCGCCTCGTCCCTCACGCCGCGCCACGCAACGCCTGCAGCAGCAACACACCGCCTTCATCACCACCACCACCACCACCACCACCCACCACCCACCACTCATCGTCCCTGCCCCGCCGCATCGTCGCTTCCACCAGCAAGTCGACTGCATCCTCACCGCCACCGCCACTGCCTCGACAGACACAGCACCGGCGCACATCACCACCCGCACCACCGCCCTCCCCATCTTGACGACTGCGCATCTTCGCAATCACTCACGCTTCCCTTGGCCAGCACGCTTCTCCTGCTCCCTCTTTCCTCCATTGACACCCAACGCCCCCCGTCGTAGGACACGACACGTCACCCTATACCAAGTCGCACCCCGTCCCGCCTGCCCACGCGACAAGAAAAGCATCGTCAGCGACCCTCGCTGCTTCCTCGGCACACCCACTTCCACGCCCCCCTTCAACGCCCCTTTCGGCCGGTCGTTGCATCTCTTACTCCGCCTCAATTACATCGGTGGCCGCGCCTTGCCCTGCATCTAGACGGCCCCATTCCTCGTCGTCACCAAACCCCGAAAAAGCATACCCTCTCCCTCTTCCTCTCTCTCCGCGACCTACTCCCTCGCCATGACCTCGCCCGCCGGCAACGCCGCCCGCTCCCAGGCCGCCTCTCCCGCGCCCTCTCACAGCACCGCCGCCACATTTGGCAACGCAGGCGGCTCAAACGCCCCACCCTCCCAGTCCGGCCCAGGCCTCCAACCCCCTCACTACCCGGGCATGCCAATCCAGCGCACCGCAAGCCAGAACACCGCCTACTCTGGCAGGAGCAGAAACTCGGGCCCCGGCGCCAGGCCCAATGGCGCCTCCGGCTCCTCTGAGCCTCCGTACATCATCGATGGTCCCAGCGGGAGGATCGCGTGTGTCGCCGACGTCCGAGGTGCGTACATGCCGGATCCCTCCCGCTCGCCGCTCGTTGCGGCACCTCCTCGCCTCGTCTGCGTGCCACTGGGCCCCCGCTGACCTGTGAGGGACCCCCTCTTCGCTCCTCTGTGTCGCTTCCCGCTCCCTCTCCCGCCCGTCTCGCCCGCAGGCAACATCTCGATGTTCAACCAGATCGCCGACGAGACCAACGCCCAGGCCATCATCCACACCGGCGACTTTGGCTTCTACGAGCGTTCCAGCTTCGAGCGCATCAGCGACCGCACCCTCCGCCACCTCGTCCAGTACTCGACCCTCGTCTCTCCGGCGCTGCGCAACAAGCTGCTCGGCTCGGATCCGCCGCGCGGTCCCGCTTCGGCGGAAAAGGCCAACGCCTCCACCGGCCTGAGGCAGCAGGTGCTCAACCACGCCGAGCCCCTCCTCTCCGAGTTTCCCCACCTGCTCAACGGCACCATCAAGCTCAAGGTGCCCGTCTTCACCGTGTGGGGCGCCTGCGAGGACGTCGCCATCCTCGAGCGCTTCCGCACCGGCGAGTATCAGGTGCCCAACCTCCACGTGCTCGACGAGGCCACCACCCGCGCCATCGAGGTCGGCGGCGTCCGCCTGCGCCTGTTTGGCCTCGGAGGCGCCGTCGTCCTGCACAAGCTCTTTGACAACGGCGAGGGCGCCGCCACCATCGCCGGCGGCCAGGGCACCATGTGGACCACGGCGCTCCAGATCGGCGAGCTGGTCGACACCGCCCAGAAGACCTTTGACCCCACAGAGACGCGCGTCCTCATCACCCACGCCTCGCCCGGCCGCGAGGGCCTGCTGGCCCAGCTGGCCCTCGCGCTCAAGGCCGACCTCACCGTCAGCGCCGGACTCCACTTCCGCTACGGCGTGTCGTACAACGAGTTCAGCGTCCAGCACGACGCGGAAAACTTCAGAAACAAGCTGCACCACGCAAAGCAGGCGTTTGGCGAGATCTGGGACACGGTCAAGACGCAGGTCGACGCCGTCATTGACAGCAACCAGCGCGTGCTGCTCGACAACGCGCTCGCCGTGGCCAACCGCGTGCCGCCGACGGCGACGGCGACGGGCGCGGCGAGCGAGGAACCGGCGTGGAAGAACACGTGGAACTGGAACCTGCCGGACGCCGCCTACGGCAACCTCGTGCTCAGCATCCGCGACGGCCGCGTCAGCGCCGAGACCAAGAGCCAGGGCTTCAACTTTGCCTACCGCCGCAACAACCAGTCGATGAGCGCCGCCACCCCGACGGCGCCCACGGCGGCCAACAGCAACGGCCCTGCCGCTGTTTCTGGCAAGAATGCGTCCTCGGCGGCCAGCCCCAAGGCGCCCGGGCCGGCGCAGGGGTCCGCGGCCGCCAACGGAGGCGGCGCATCGACGCCCGGTACGCCGTCTGCCGCCAAGAACGGCGGCGGTGGCGCCACGACGCCGTCCACCGCCTCGGCCAAGGGCGGCGCCAAGGACAAGAAGACGCCGCGCGAAAAGGGCCACGAGTCGGCCGCGTCCCGCAGCGATGCCGAGGGTTACCTCACCTCTGGCACCGAGGGAGGTTCCGGCCGCAAGGGCGGCGCGCCGCGCAACCCCAACACGATCTACATCAGCCAGTTCAAGGACGCGCTGCCGATCAGCGAGGCCGACATCCGCGAGTACTTTGGCCCCGCCGCCGCCGGCATCACGTCGATCAAGCTCATCTTTGACAAGGAGCGCTTCTCGCACCGCCGCGGCGTCAGCAGCGGCAAGGAGGACGCCGCCGCCCCGGCCGGCGACAACGTGCGCAGGCAGAGGCCGTTTGCCTATGTCGAGTTCAAGGACGAGGAGGCCATGAAGGCGGCGTTCAAGCGGCAGGGGCAGACGATCAAGGGCACCGACATCAAGCCGGCGCTCGAGCAGGCCGACAGCGCCAAAATTGTGGGCGGCACGGCCACGCCGGCCAAGTCGGAGCGGGGCGACAAGCCGGAAAAGGCAGACAAGAAGGAGCGGAAGCAGAGCAAGTCCGGCAACAACAAGGAGGCCGCCGCCGCCGTCGCTGCCGCTGCTGCCGCTGAGGGCAAGCCGTCCGACGGCAAGCAAGAAGGCGGCGACTCGGCGGGTGCGGCCAAGTCGGACACCGAGGGAAGCGGAGCGGCCAAGGAGGCTCAGTCGCCGGCACCGGGTGGCAAGCCCAAGAAGGCGCGAGGCGGAAAGGGCCACAACAAGAAGGGGTCCGGCAAGGTGGACAAGGAGGGCAACGGCAATGGCAGCGGCAACGGCGCCGCTGCGGGCCAAGGAGAGGCCAACGGCAAGCCGTCGACGGATAGCGGCGAGGCCAAGGCCAAGGCGTCCACGCCCGCTGCTGCCCCTGCTGCTGCTGCTGCTGCTCCCGCCCCCGCCTCTGCTCCTGCTCCCGCTGCTGCCGAGTGATTCCCTCGTTGCCGTCCACCGGGCCCACCCGGTACGGATCGGCTCGGCGGTCTGGCTATCCATCCGTCTTCCGCAGTCGACAGTCGGAACGTGTCAAGGTTGGGTCCGCTCGAGCTCGGTATCAAAGTCCCTGCATGTCTCCCTTTTGCCCCGCGCTCCTTCATCTTTGTCTCGTGCGATCCCGACAATCACTTCATCCCGAATTGAGGCGGCCGCGCGGACAGAGGGGTGCCGCCGTCGCCGTCACGCCGCCGCGGCCGCCGTTTCCGCATGTCGTTCCGCCCCGCTCTGCGCCGCTCCGCAATCACGAATGCCAAAAATGACCCTTACCGACATACGACCGTCCGTCCGTCCGTCCCTGATGTGACGTTTCCGCGCTTGCCTGGGCGCTAGGTGCGCGTGGGTCAGATCCCTGGCGTTGGTGTCGGCGCGCCGATTCCGCATTGCCCGTGTTCGGACTGTCTGACACACGGCCGGCGCGAGGTTGGCTGGCTGGCTGGGAGGCGGGCTGGTCTGCTTGTCGTCACCGCACGATGCCGTGTGTCTCTCCGCACCAAGGAAGGGGTGGGGTCGAGATGCG